TGGTTGGGACCTGAGAGCCAAGCTTCATGCTATTACTTGTTCTTTTGGTAGTTCATATGTAAACTTTGCTATAAACGTAGCCAAGACTTGTGTTTTAATCGCCATTCTTTGAATGACTCTGAGGTCGTACTGCCCCAACTCAAGTGACCACTTTGTAATGCAACCAGAGAAATCTGCCTTACCAAGTACACTCCTCAAGGGGTGCCCAATGATAATCACAATGGTGTGTGTTTGGATATAGTGGTTCAACTTTCGAGAAGTTATAACCAAGGCAAAAAAGAATTTTTCGAGGGGGGTATACCTGGTCTCTACCTCAATAAAGTCTTGCTGACAAAATAGATTGGCTTATGTTCCCTCCCTTCTACCCATAGTAACACTCCACTTATAGCATGTTCGGACACGGCTAAATAGAGTTGAAGCTCTTCCCCCTGCGAAGGAATGGAGAGTAAAAGAAGTGTCTGGAGGTAGCTTTTCAAGTCATCGAGAGCCTTATCACACTCACCATCCCAGTGGAAAGCTCGACCTACCCTAAGCAACTAAAGGAAGGGTCTGCATCAGTCTGAAGATCGACTGATAAATCGGTTAGGGGCTGCAGTCATGCCTGTTAACCTCTAGACTTCCTTGATTGAGGAAAGCTTCTTAATTACCTGCAAAGCCTTAATCTGATATGGATCAGCTTCTATCCATCTTCGTGTCACCAAGTGTCTAAGAACTTCCTGGAGCTCACTTTGAAGGCACACTTTGCGGCATTAAGCCTAAGTTTGTGACGTTTCAAGATATCAAATACATTTTGAAGGTCAGAGAGGTGGTTCTCTGATTCCTTACTATTAACCACCATACCATCTATGTCCACCTCCATCGTTTGGCCGATCATGGAGCCAAAGAGCTTCGTCACCATTATGTGGTAAGTAGTTCCTTTGTTTTTCAAGCCAAAAGACATGACCTTCTAGTAAATCCCCTTTGATGTAATAAAAATTTTCTTCTCCTCATCAAGCCCAAACATAGGAATTTGATGGTAGCCTCTATATGCATTTAAGAAGCTCATCCTTGCATGGCCAGATGTGGCATCCACAAGCTGATCAATCTTAGGGAGTGGAAAAGGGTTCTTTGGGTAGGCCTTGTTAAGGTCTATGACGTTGATGCATACTCGCCACTTTCCACTCTTCTTTTTCACCACAACGGTGTTTGATAACCACTCCGGCTATTGAACCTCCCTTATAGCACTGACTTCCAAGAGTTTGCCCACTTCTTCATCAACGGTTTTCGCATGCTGGAGGGCAGACTTTTTACTCTTCTGAACAATAGGCTTACGAGCAGTGTCCACATTAAAATGATGGCTAACTAATGAAGGATCAATATCTGGCATCTCATAAGGTGTCCAGCAAAGATCTCAACGTTCCTCCTTAGTAGCCCAATACGGGACTCCTTCCTGAGTACAAGTAGCTATAACCCGATCAAGAAGTATCTATTCGGATCTGCTTGGTCCACTAGTATGACCTGCAGCTCTTCAATTGACTTGTCTTTGGGCTTGAACCCTACATCCTCAAGAAAGGGGAGCTCTTCATCAGCTATGAAGACTTGTTGTGACTTGGTCATCAATTTAGCCCCTATATTAAAGCACTACTTAGAGGTAGCTTGGTCTCCAAAAATCTCAGTTATCCCTTCACTAGTGGGGAATCATAACATCTAATGGTAAGTGGAGGCTACCGCTTGCATTTGGTGAAGTCATGCTCTCTCCATGATGGCATTATACGGTGAAGAAAGATCCACCACTAGAAAGTCTACCTCGACCACTTGCGTACCGGCCTTGGCAGGAACCTGCAACCTACTAAGAGGCTAGACTTGCATGTCATTAAAGCCAACGAGTAAGGTCGTCACTGGGAGGAGGTAAGCCAGAGTTTTTTCCAATTTCTTGAGCAGGTCATAATACATGATCTCCATTAAATTCCCAGGGTCAATGAGTACACGCCTTACTTTGAAGTCGCACATGCTGAAAGTGAGAACAAGGGGGTCATTATGTGAGTGGACCACTCCTTCTAAGTCCACATCTAAGAATGTGATGGAAATACTTTTCGATTCAGCCTTTCGGCGCTTGGAAGTGTGACCACCTTGGTGATTTGCTTGCATAACATGTTGAAGATAATGGGCTTTTTTGATACTCGGTCTGAGACTGGACCGAGTCAACTTGCATTAGATGAATGGTGTTGAAGATGATGTTTTATTACCATATGAGGCTGGTCTTCCCAAGGCTGATCATCTTGTTAAGTTCGTTGTCCTGTCTGCTCCTTGGCAGTCTTCTGCTTGTCTATGTACTGGGATAGGTGACCTTGCATGACCAACTCCTCCAAGTGGCGCATGAGAGAACAAAAATTCTCTATTGGGTGACCTTTATCCTTGTGGTAAGAGCAATAGAGGTTTTGGTCTCTCATGGAGTGGTCCCCTGTCATCGTTGATGGCCACCTAAAATTTTGAATCTTTAATCTGATTCAAAATTCAATAGATTGGCTCTTTGAAAATAGTATCGACTCTTTGGGATAAGTCATTCGTCCCCTTTGACATTTCTCCCTGCTTTGAGGGTTCGTGGAGCTATTTTCCTTCATTTGATTCTTCCTCGGTAGCTATGATAGCCGATCAATTAGCCCTTTGTCATCTTCCACCTTTACATATCTCCTAATGTGCTCCTGCAAGTGGGACATACTCCTAGGTGGCCACATTGTGAGATGTTTTCGTAACTCACTCTTCCTTGGGAGGAGGGCCAAGCGAAAAGAGACAACAACGGTTTTCTCGTCGCATTCTTCAATGTTGGCATAAGTCTCCAGGTACCTCGTGGCGTACTCTTGGAGAGTCTCTCCTCGTTGTTGGTGTAGTGCTAAGAGCTAAGAATGTATCAATCGTCATGGGTTCTCGGCTGTTAGCTATGAATCAAGAGTCAAACTCTTCAGCGAGTTGCTCCCAAGAGTAGATTGTGTTCACAGGCATCCCATAAAACCACTTAAGCGCTGACTTCCCCAAACTGAAAGGGAACATCTTGCACATCAATGCCTCATAGCTTGTCTAAAGGGTTATCTTGTTGGTGTAAGATCCTATGTGAAGCACGAGGTTGAACTTGTCATCATATAACTCAAAAATCGGAGGATTGAACTTTCATGGGGGTTCAGATTCTCATATGGACCAAACGGAAGGTGTGGTAGTCATCTTTGTAAGGGTCTACCTCGCCTTCTCTTTTGCTAAATAAACAGGGTCGTCATGAGCATAGTCATGTTATGGCTAGGTGGCCCATCACGAGCTGGCTCAGAGCACCTTTGCTTTTCTCCTCTATAATCATCCCAACAGTCTTCTCTTTGATAGAGGGAAGGACTCTCATTCCATTCCCTTTGCTCCCTAGGACGGCGTTGTCTATGTGTTTCATCCCCTCTCCTACGATGAGGGTGATCATGCCTCAAAGAAAGGTCTCTAAGGGTGCAGTTAGTAATGCTTCTCCTGGATGAGCACCTATTTAAACTCTGATTGTGAGTCGAGTAGCTCCTTGCTCAAGAATGGCTCTTGTGATGGGAGGAATAGGCTTCCTCAACATGATCGTTACGACGATCATGATTATAGGTTGGCCGCCTGACCACGCTAACGAGTTGCTTGCCACTCTGGCGTATGAGGCCCTGCCTAAGAGCTTTTAGCTCCTCTGTATTCTTCCTAATTGCCTCATAGTAATCAATCTCGGTGGCTAACCCACCTACTACACCGAGAGCAGGTAAGTTGTGGTGAGAATGAGAATTTTCTCTTGAGTGGTCCTGCCCAACACAGGGCAGCACTTTCTCTAATAACTGGAGCTCATAGTGTAAGAGGGATCCTCGCGAATCGAGGGTAATGGAAGTAGTGAACAACTGGTTCTGGGATCGAGGGCTCTCTCGCCGGTCATAGTTTCAAGGCTTCTTGTTTAGTAGAAAAATTAATCGTTTTCCACAGAGATACCAATTGTACGGGAATAAATACACACATGGAGTAACCACCTCGTACAGACGGAGAGGGTGGTGAGTAAGCCTTGAGTAACCTGCAAGACAAGAGAACACTTAAGTGAACCGATAGCTGGAGGCAGCTAAAGGGACTCCGAGAGAGCCACCTCGTACATACACACAGGGAGTAACCACCTCGTACAGACGGAGAGGGTGGTGAGTAAGCCTTGAGTAACCTGCAAGACAAGAGAACACTAAAGTGAACCGATAGCTGGAGGCAGCTAAAGGGACTTCAATGCTTAATTCAATAAGCAAGTCGAAGAAAAAGTGTATAGTGAATAGGCTATCATTAAATGACATACCTAAGATCCATAACCTTTATTTATAGCAACATAGGAAGCCGTGTTCCAAGTAGAATCGAACTCTAGGTTGCGATAAGATAGACCTCATCATCACCAATCCCCTAGATGTTCAAGGTAAAATCGTACTAGGACGTTAAGTCCTGGCTTGTAGGAAGGGATATGTTGGCTAGGAGGCTTTGTCTATCAATAGTCCCTTGATACTTGGAGTCGAGTTTTGCTAGGACTCTAGGTCCCGAGTCAATCCTTCACCAAGTAGCAGGTGGAGGCGCCAGGCAGGGGCGAGTACGTGGGGACGCCATTGGACGCAGGTGTCACTGGGTGAAGGCGTTGTTGGGCTAGGGCGCAAGCGTGACAGGCTCGGCGACGCCGACGCCACAGGCAGTTGGGCGACATCGTGGCGTGGATGGCGCCAGCTAGGCGACGCCGTGGTCGTGGATGGCAACATTTGGGCGACACAGGCTAGGTGGGCAACGCCTTGGAGGTTGCCTATGCTGTGTGGACAACACCTTGGAGGTTGTTGTGGTGCCTTGGGCGACACCTTAGTTGCTCATTGTGGCCAGCGCCTCTCTGCTGCTTTGGTGGAGGTCAATAACTGACCTCTGTCCCACACAAACCCTATATATCCTTCTCAACAAGACTAACTTTGTTCGAGTTCCATAAGTATATCTACTTGTATCCAAAGAGTGTTATCTGCAAAGTCTCATTATGAAAGAACATAGACCCAAACAACTAGGTTTAGCTCAGTGATTTACTTCAAGTAATTCTAACAGAAACATAAAAAAATTCCAATGCCCCAGCATTGCTACCAAGTACAATTTTATCATACATTGCATAGCCAAAATGCGAAAAAGAAATCAAACATAACATAAGCTCCAGAAAAAGAACAATCCAGTGCACGAGACTCGTGACGTGACGTTAGCGGGTCTCGAGACATATACAAGGAATCATCCTTTGTGATATGACTTTGTTCAGAAATCTATGGAAACTCTCAGCTTGTTGAGAGTTCCTGATACATCTAATTTGCAGACATGACACTTGGAAATCCATACCAAAAGTAACATGAAAAGCTTCATGAAGGAAGAACAGGTTTTCGGCTATGGTTGTACCTTGATGACAATACCTTCCCAGAACAAGAAAATGATCTCTTCATTGAACCAGGCCCCTTTTGCACTGATCTTCCAAATGAAGAACTACACACTAATCTGAACAAGCTCTGATTAACATCAAATCTCTTTGAAACAATACCACTGTTTGATTCATGGACTTTGATGAATTGGGAATCCGAAAACCCAACAGATTGTTCTGGATGAGCATTAGCCATGGCAAGTCTGATCATTGAAGCTGATAAGGAATCCATAGAAACAGATCTTCTCATTGGTTGAACCTCATCCACCTCTAAATGATCACTCTTACCCAAAATTCCATCTATGTTTACTCCATTTTCGACCCGAATTCCACCTTCTTCCACTGCCCCAATCCTCAATTCACGAGCCTCATCTTCTCTATGCCTTCCAAATTCACCATTATTCTCTGGAATTCTCACTTGGGTTTCTTCAACATGACCCAAATTGCTGTCACTCTGCTCCGGGGATGGCGAGACCGCCAGGTTGATCACAATTCTGGCACGGCACATGGGGCAATTTGTGTGTGATCTAAGCCAAGTATCAATACAAGGCAAGTGAAAAGCATGGTTACATTTTGGCAATAGCCTAAGAGTCTCATCTTCTTGAAACTCATTCAAGCAAACAGAGCACTCTGTTCCTTCCACTAGACCCTCACCTCTCTTGTACTTAACAATTGAGATTGCTGTGATTACTGATGGTTGAAGACCAACAGTTCTGATAAACCATATGGGATGATCCACTACAGGCCCATGATTTTCATTCAAAAAATCACCATAAATCTCTTCTTCTTGTGGCTCTGATCTCCTTCTTGATCTGTACCATCCTGTATAAAACTTGTAGATGGTGAAACAAAAGAGGAGAAAGAAAACAGTGGCGAGAATGGAAAGAGAGATGATGACGAAGAGAGAGTGTTTGTGGGTTTTGTTTGGGTGATCATTTAAGGGGGATAGAGGGTATTCTGGAGGTTCGATTTCAGATATGATTGATTGGTAACAAGTTGGGTAACAGTAGATGATACATGAAAATGGACAAGCTCCTTCTTTGTTCTTTGTTGGGTTACAGTAGTATGGTGTACACATCTGTGTTATGGTATCATTGAGAAAATTTGGTATCAACTTTCTATGGTTGAACTTGAAGGCCATGAGAGAGAGAGAGATATGGGTGGTCTTGGATCTGAAGAGAGAGAAGAGATGAGAGATAGGAGAGATGGGTGACCTAACCTGTACATGAAGGGAAGGGAGAGAAGAGAAGACTGGGATTGTTTTCTTGCATACCAGGTATTTTTAGTTTGACGATAAAGGAGGGGTGGGTGGGTGGGTGGGAATGTTCTGTCTCTTTGCATTTGCTCCTGTTGACTTTTTTACGGAGATATAATTTTCGAATAAATATTTAGGGTGAATTACACTTTGTACCCTAAAAATTTCAAAATTCTCAATTTATACACTAAATGATTAATTTTCCTACAATGCACCCTCCATATTATAAAATAGTGACAAAGTGATCCTCGCACTAACTTCCGTCATCCTTTTCGTCGAATCTTGCAGCATTCAATGTGGGGGTCACATAGTAGATTTGACAGATATTATCACTGAAGTTAATATAAAGATTATATTATAACCATTTTATGACATTGAGAATACAAAGTAAAAAAATTAATTATTGAAAATTTAAATAAAAAATTTTAAAATCTTTTAAAACATAAAATATAATTCGACCAAATATTGCCACAGTTACATGTAATGGCATGTCACCTATCAATAATAAATGAGTAAGGTAAGTAAACCCTATACTAACGTATAATAGTTATTGAATGTGAAAATTATTGAAGGTTACAGAATTTTTGAGGCAAATTTTACCGGTCGGATTTGTTGGTTAAATTATTTATTATCATTAGGTTGATACTAAATTATATTCAATAATAGGGGGTCATCTATTAATTCAGCGGCGCAGTCATAGCTGGGAATACATTGTTCTCAAGGAGGACATGATTTTCATTTCTAAACCCAAAACAAATCAAATCATTATTATTAATTGCTTTGAACATAATGTTGTTGGGTAGTAGATCTTATAGAAATTTTCTTCATTTTTTCTAAAAGTGGTTTACGTTTGTTTAAGTTGAAGGAGTTGGGAAAGATTCCGTCAACAAAAGGGGAGAAACGTGGTGAGTTTAAGTGCTAATAAGGATAAGTTGTAAATTCAAACATGTTGAGTTCGAATCTTGATAATTTTTTCGGGGTTAAGCCATGAAAGATTTATCTATCATAAATATCTTAATTTTAACATGAATGACATGTTTTTGATCGGACCAGAGAGTGGATTAGTCGAGATGCATGAAAGCTAATCTAGGCACCCTTAACCGTTGAACTAAAAAAATGAGGGAGAATGTTACATAGCTTAAAAAATAGGTACCATAATGTTATTTATAAATTTTTTGGAGTTTTTCCAATCAATCTTAAAAATTAAGATTCACCTTAAATACTCCAAAATTTTATAACTTGATTTTCAAAAAGTTATAACTAGAATTCCAAACGTTAATGGTAAAAAAAGAAAAACACTCAAAAATTTGTAACGCCGCCCATATAAATTTTTTTAGAATTAATCCTAATTTTTTAAGTTATAATTAGACCCAAGAAACTTATATCTTAGTCCATAAAAGTTAGGATAAATTAGATCCACCTCCCCTAACATTTGATTAAATAACAACTAGATTCGTTCTTGTGAGTAAATTATATTTTCAAAATATCCTTTTTTTCCATGGATTAATTGTACATAATTCATCCCCAAAAAAAATTTCGCTAAAAAACATCAACTTTTCTGCACGACTTCCAATTTTAAATAATTAAATCAACACACTTCTCAATGCAAAATAATCCTACTTATTTACACCAAACTCTCTTTCTTTTTCTCTCTCTTATTTTTTTCTCTATTTACTTTAGATTTAAAATAAATAATTAAAAAATAAATTTAAATTATTATTTAAAATATAAATATTATGCAATTAATACTCAACTTTTAGTATTATACAGCAATTTCAAGTACGGAGTTATTGCTAGTAAATCAATATGTAAACAACTAGACCCCACTTAATTTAATAACTATCCTGTTAATGTAGGAAAATGACTTATTAAATAAAGTTTATCTTACATAATTATAAGTTTATTATTAAATAATAATGTAGTGTTAACATTAGATCAAATATTTCCGAGTCATAATAAATCCTAATGATGTATTGGATGCATCATTATCACCCTTGGTGGACTTGGACTAGATGAAGGTAGAGTTCAGTTTTTCAAGTCATCCTCTTGTAGATCATGAGTTCAGTTACCTAAAGACCTCGATCTCAGACCTCGAGTTTCCTGCACCTACATCTCAAGGAAGGCGGTGTAAAAAACATCTGGCTTCTACTAAACACCCCCTCGATAACAACAGTCGTTTATTCAAGCGTAAGATTCGTAACTGTCACAACAATCACCGCAACCGTTGCACAATAAAAGCAACCATTACAAGAAAGATATAAGGATCTCACCATAGATCAGGCTAGGCTTAGAGTCAGTTATAAATAAGAGGCAAAACCTTTAACAGAAAAAAAAAAAAAAAAAAAAAAAAAAAAAAAA